GGGAACCCCGCGGCTGGCAGGGCCGGGGCTCCTATTCAGTTATTTTAAATTATCGACCAAATATTGCTTGTTTAAGTAGACGTTTCCCTGCCTACTGCGGCATGTCACAGCTGACTGGGGCCTGGCAGCACTTTGCAGGGACACGCCAGGGTGTCTGGAGCAGCAGCCCCACGGTCAGGGCTGCACCTGCGGCCCTGCCCCGACTGCCCCGGGGGCTGAGGTGGACAGAAAGCCCCCTCACCTGCGGCCCTGCCCCGGCTGCCCTGGGAGCTGAGGCCCTGCCCTGGATGAGCTGAGGCCCTGCCCTGGGTGTCCCCACCCGCTGAGCCCGTGAAACTAGGCTTTGACAGGAAAAATGTGTGTGCTGTCATTTTTTCATTGTCAGAGGGTGTATGCACTCACCAGAGGGAGCCAGGGGAGTGCCCATGGGCGTGGTCACACTGTCACCTCTTCTCCATTTCTCCATCCTGCTAGGATTTCGAACACACATGCACCTGCACCTGTGGTCTTTCTCAAGCCGCTGGGGCCGAGATTCAAACTGCAGTGGGCCATGTGGGGTCTGCCCCCCAGCCACTGGGCTACAAGGCCAGCCTGTGTGTGTTTCTTTAAAACAGAAAGCCCGGGATGCGGGCGTGTCCTCGGGACCTGCCCTCGTTCATGCGGTCTCTGACTCCCAGCCTGCAGGGAGTCCTGGATTAATTACGGAATCTTCTTTCTCACCTGACCAGAAGAATCGTGCTTCTCTACCCACAGCCCTGGGACAGCGCCTCCCTCGAGGTGCATTAGGAAGTGCCCAGCGGTGGTGGGTGTCCCGTCGGGAGCTCTCCAGCTGGCACTTAGACGTGACGCCCTGCCGCGTGACTAACTTCTGTGGAGATGGGAGCCAGGACAAAGACAGGCAGGGCACTGAGCCAGACTGGCCAAGAGCTGCTTGCCACGACCCAGGCTGGGGACGGCCTGTGAGGGCCTCAGGGACCTCTGGGAAGTGCTTTGAGAAGGGTGGCCCTGCCAGCCTTTCCGGAGACCCAGGGCCAGACCGTGAGCCCAGACATGGGTGTGGGTGGGGTTTATGAAGGAGGACCAGGGGGGCCCAGGCCAGGGCAAGGCACCTGCCCAGCCTGGAAGGCAAGAGACAGCACCAGAGCCCACCCTGTGGAGGCGCGGGACCGAACCTGCAGAGCCGGGGGAACATGGGAGCGAGGGTCCCCAGCAGCGGGCGTGGGGCAGGTTGCTCTCTGCACATGACTTCCGCAATTAGCTAGAGCAAGAACCTTCCGCTTGCCTACCCACAGCTATGGAGGTGTTGGTCCCAGCACTGCGGGCTGAGCCAGGAACGCGGCCGTGGCACAGTGGCAATCAAGCGCTTTGCTTGTGCACTCACGGGGAGGCTCTGTGCTGACCCAGTCTGCCTCACCAAATGTGCAGGGCTAACGTGCACGTAGACCGTCGGCCTGGTTCCGGATGGAAAGCTGAGTAACCGCCCGTCATCAGCAGGCTGCGCAGAGGCGGGGACTGCAGCTCTGTCTGCCCCGTGGCTCCGATCGCTGTGTCCAGGTGGATGAGCAGGGTCTGTGTGAGCGCGTGAGGGCGGGAACAGCCCTTGGCGCGTGTTCCCTGCCTCCGTGTGGCCCTTTGCCTTGCGTGTGCTGGTAGAAGCCCCCAGCGCCACCCTGTGCGTGGCTGAGGTGAGCCAGGGCTGAGCTGGTGGCTTCCCACAGTGCTGGCTCCCCCGTGGCTCCCGGCAGTGGCACTGTCCCATCGCAACAATGCGCCTTTGCCCACAGACGCATGGCTCTGTGGCTAGCACTGAAGGTCTCCCTGAACAGGGCCACTGTCCCCTGAGGCAGCCTTATCGCTGAGCGCACAGGGACAGGCATGGGACGGCCGACGTGTGCACACCTGTCAGCAACGTTGTGGTCACCCTGACAGCAAAGCCTCCCGGCGATGCGCTCTCGAAGGACCTGTCACCCCCGGCCCTCCCACTGGGAATATGGCTTTGGGGAAGGGGAATGGAGTCTCTGCAATTAGCAGAAGTCACGTGCAGAGAGCAACCTGCCCCACGCCCGCTGCTGGGGACCCTCGAGTTTTACCCCTAACTCGACACCACGTCCTCCGAAGCCTTCCGGGACCACCAGTGACCAGAGTTAGTGTATTCTGTCACCCTGGCATCTAAAACCATGCACATAAATATTTAATGACTGGAAGAATATGTAAAATTGTGCACATGCTTTAGACACGGAGAGTAAAGGAGGGTGAGGTTGGGACCCCGGAGGATGAGGTGACTCCTACAGGCCGTCTGGGTCTGCCCTGGCCGCGTGCACAGTGCAGCTGGCGGCAGGTGTGGCTAAGGAGCAGCCGTGGGCCATGTCGCCCCCGGGTTTGGTGCAGTGGAGTCAATGGAGAGGGACATTTCATCGTGTGCTTTATGGCCTGGGAGGTCACAGATCAGGGGCCCAGGGACACGGACCTGTGCGTTTGGAAAGCGCGTCTTGCTCCAGGCTCGCCCCCTGCCGCTGTCTCCCATGGGCACCTGCAGAGCGCGCTGAGTCAGGGAACCGTGTTCAGCCCCGCCTGCGCGTCGGCCAGTTACACCAGAGAGGGCTCGCGCACAGAATGCTGGTCGGTGCCTGAAATACCAGTGGTCCATGTCGCAGGAACGACTCACTTCCTCGAAGACAAGCCGTCCTGGGAGGAGGCCATGGGAGCCTGGGCTGGCTCGGTCCCCAGGCGCATCTTAAGGCGCTGCCTTCCTGTGCTCCGCGTCAGCTGGCCCCCAGGACAGCCCGCATGGCCGCCGCGCTGCCAGGCAGTACCCGAAGAGGCCATCGCCCTAGGGAGGAAAGCGGGCCGATACTTCCAGGTCACACCTACGCTGGCGCCGCCGCCTTCCGAGGGGAGTTAGAGGTTGGAGGGACCTGAACAAACCCAGGACTCATCGTGCGCAGAGGCAGGTCCTTAGCTTCTGGGCAGCCCCCAGCAGTGCCTGCGGGTGTGCTCAGGGCCGCCCCTCGCTCACCTTAGTGCCTTTCCAACAGGTCCAGGGTATAGGCCTAATTGGTGAGGGTGGGTCATAGTGAAGTCGAGTCGTCATCTGGCAAGATCACAGCAAGACAGGAAATCACACCAGGTGTGTGCGTGCCCCAAGTCCCAGAGGAGATGGAGGAGAAGGGATGTGACACGGCCATCCCTGCAGGGACCGGAGGGGTGTTTTCAAGTCCCCTCTGTCTCTCTCTGCCAAGTATACACACCCTATGGCAAAAGACCTAAAAGGTAAAATAAAATAATAAAAGATTCTGATAAGACCAAGGAAACTTCTTCATCACCCAGGCTTCCCAGGGAAGCCCAGCTCCATCTGCAGACTGGGAGTGCACCCGTGACGGCTGGGGGATGCCAGGAGGGGTGATGTCCCCAAGATAAAGTGAGAGGTGTCCGCCTTGGACCGAACACGGAGAAGTGCTCCCCAGATGGAGAGGCGTCCGCAAAGGTCTCGGGCGGAAACCCGACAGCGTCTTAAAGTGCGGAGTGGGTGGCAGGAGGCGGGCAGAGGCCGCTCAGAGCCGCAAGTCCTGGGAGAGGGGAGGGTGTCATCCCACGAGCTGCAGAACTGTGGAAGGTCCCCTCAGGATCAACAGCTCTCGGTGACAGTAACCCCAGAGGGTCTCTCCGTGCAGGGGAAGGCCGCTGCCGGGAGCTGTGCTTGGAGAAGCTGCTTACAAAGCCCCAGCTTCACAGCCGGCGGCCAGAGTCCGTGCCGTCACCCGGTTTCATGCCAAGTCGCCAGGAGTGTGGGCATGGGCCTCGCAGCGGTTCCTCGAGAAGCGACTTATTCCAGAGCAGCTCTGGGGCATATTAAGTAAAAAATCCTGTCCCTGGAGAGACGAGCAGGCGCCGTCCCAGGTGGGTGGGGCTGCCAGCCTCTGTCTGCCTCCCAGCTGAGGGTTAGATGCCGGCCGGCGGGGCAAGCCAGGACAGGCCGGCGCAGTCCCGCCCATCCGGGCCCTGCGCTTGCTCCAGGACAGAGGCCTCTCTGCAGCTGCTTCGCCAGCCTCACGCACTTCCAGGGCACTCGGGTTTCCCCAGCAGTTCTTAGGTTTTTGAGAAATTCACGTGTCAGGGTTTTCTTTTCTTTTTTAAAAGAATCGATCATTTATTTATTTATTTAAGAGAGACATTTTTGCTATAGGGCACCTGTGCTCACCAAAGAGACAGACAGAAAGTGAGAAATCACCCCCGGAGGGGATGGCCACGTTCCTGTCCCTTCTCCACTCTCCTCTCACAACTTGGGGCCCACGGGCCCAGCGTTTTATGCTGCCAGGTCCGGGACTCGAACTGCAGTTGACTATGTGGGAGTCCTGTGACATAACCACTACACCCTCTGCTGGTCCCCAGGTTTTTCTTTTGACTGTTTTCAACAATCTCCCACTTTTCTCTGAGTCTCTGCTGAGTGTCCGTGTCTACATGGAGGCGAGCACATGATGGCGTGAATGAGCAGGGCTGCTCAGTGTGGGACAGGGTCTGGGGAGCTCAGAGGAGCGCACACTCTCCCTGCCTGGGTGGGCTTCCTGGAAGAGTTGGCAGGGGAGCTCAGCCTTCAAGGAGGCTCCTTCTGGTTGCCATGAGGAGACAGGTCTGAGCATGGACAGTACCTGCAAGCCTATGCAGGCGGCCTGGGAGAGCCAGGGGCCTGGGTTAACAAGGCCCGTCGGAGGTAGACAGGCGTTCAGAGAGGACAGCCACTGGGGCCTGAGGATGGGACATGGGACAGTGGAGGTGGTTCCTGCAGCTCGCAGCCGCCCATGCCGTCCCCTTGCTGTGGAGTGTCACGAAGAGCCAGTGCTGGCACTGCATTGGTGCCTGTCCCCGGGACGGTGAGGGTGCCGCCGGGTAAATGCAGGTTTCCGATCCTCTGGCACCTGTCTCCCTGTCAGCCCGCCCTATACGTGCGGTGTGCACGCGAGCGACGTGACCTCCAAGTGTGTCTTTTCTCTTTCCATGTGAAGTATATTCGGTGCTCTCCGAACTGGTGCTTACATGGTGTACATCCTGATGACCAAAGGCCTGAAGCAGTCGGTGTGCGACCAGAGCTTCTACAACGGCCCTGTCAGCAAGTTCTGGGCCTACGCCTTCGTGCTCAGCAAAGCGCCGGAGCTCGGTGAGTGCCCCCGCGCCCTGCCCCCCTCTGTGCTCACCCACTAGGTGGTCACTGGAAACCCCCAAAGGGAGAGAAAGAGCTAATGCCTTCGAGGCCCTGACTACTTGTCTCCCCACCCTCCTGCCCTCCTTCCAAATGACTGCCCCTTCTGTGCATGAGCAACCTGCTCTGCACAAGAACGCCGGCGTCTCAGCATGGCCCAGAGCATGCGGACCGCCCCCTAAGACCATCCAGCCTCGCTCCTCCATCCAAGCTCGTGGGAGGCAGCGTCTGCAAGCCTTGTGTCAAGGCGAGCTTGCACAGCTCAGGTTCGGATCCCCGTAGGGAAGGAAGCGTGTCATGTGGGCCCCTCGTATTCTTCTCCAGAGGTGCAAGGCTTGGTGCCTTGGTGCACTGGCTTTGGGGAAGGGGAATGGAGGTCACCTTTTCAGAATTAATAGGCAGTACTGGCTGCGTTCGTGATTTCCAAGGTCCGTCTTCACCTCTTTAACGGTCTTGAATGGAAGTTTGGCGAAGGAGGCAGAAAAGTGAGGAAATGAGGACTAGGCACAGCTCTGCCCTCGCTGCCAGAGCAGGACGTGGCCCCACGGTGACAGCGAGTTCAGGCCATTCCCGAGCCGTGCAGCCCACCCTCCGCCAGCTGGGATCTGGAGGCCATCCTCTGGGGCTTTTCAGGGTTTACCTGCAATGAAGCAGCATATGTAATTAGCTAAAAGTATTTGAACTAAACTATGTTAATTCTGTAGTTCAAATCGTCTGTATTTAGTTCAGAAGTCATTGGTGTCCCTTCCCCTCCCTCCTGGGGAAAGGGGCTCCAGCTGTCACTCATCACAAGCCGCCCACAGGCGCCTGGGGTTGGCCCAGCGTCTAGTCACGGACCCCAGGTCTCTGCAGTGGGGTTGCCCAGCCCCGTCCTGCCTGCGTCTCCCCCCACCGAACTCGGCCCTGTACTGAGGCCCGGCCCTGCACTAACTGTAAGGCAAAGGGGCTTTCTGTTTCCTCAGAAACGATTACGGGGTTACAGGCCACTTGGACAGTGGAGGCGAGCCCCCAGCCTGCTCTGACCCAACCCTAGCGACTGTGTGAACGCCAAACCTGCTGAGCTCTGGCTTTGTTAGAACTTGGCCGCATCTGCTGGAGTCCAGGTTCTCGCCCGGTTGAGCCTGGCATTGTTTCCGAAGCCCAGAGTCAGCAGCCTGGGCTGGTACCACAGGGCACCAGCCGGCTGCTCGAACCAGAACCACGCAGGCAGGCCCCTTGTGCGGCTTCCTGGGTGCGGACCCACTTCGCTGCTGCACTGGGCTCTGCCCTCGCCAGGGCACCGGCAGGGTTCAGTCCCGCAGGACCGGGCAGTGGGGGAGGCGCCTGCACAGGGCAGCAGTGCACATGGTCCGTGCCCGGAGAGCTGGAGCCCAGCACCCCAGCACTGCCGAGCCTGGAACGCAGAGTCAGAGGCCATGGGGCTGCGCTTGACTGTACCCTTCCGCCAGGCAGGGTTAGGGTGGCTTACGGGTCTGCCCGGCTCCTGGCCAGCCTGTAATGCCACGGTGGGCACTACTCTGGCCCCTGACGGCTTGCGCACTCACGGTGCGGTTTCCCCGGGAGCCTAATCCCACCTTGCCAGAGCGCATGACCAGTGGCCCAGCCGCAGCCTGGGGGCCCTTCTGGGACCCCACCTTGCCTCTCCCTGAGAGGTCGACCACTCTCTGGGGCGGTGGTCTTGGGGACAGACCTCCATAGACTTTGGAGCCGCTGCGAGGCGAGACCGGCCCCGTCACTCAGCCGTCACCTGCATCCAACACTTGTGCTCTGCCTCAGGGCAGCGCCTGCCCGGCTCAGACTCGGCTTTCGGGTTTTGGTTTTTGTTTTTATGTAGAGGTTTCTGTCTTAGGGCATTTGTGCTCATGGGAAGGAGGGAGAGAGAGAGACAGAGACAGCAAGAGAGAAAGTGAGGCTCCACCCCTGGGGGAATGGCCATGCCCAGTCCTGTCTCCTTATTCTCCTCTTGGGGTAGGATCGTGGGCACCGCACACAACTGCACCCAGCGTGAGTTTCAAGCCACTGACCGGGGCTCGAACCATGATCATTCAGTCCTCTGGGAGTGCAGTGACGGAGGCTACGCCATCTGCTAGCCCCTCAAAATAGTTTGGTTTTCAAGTTTCTTGACCCAGCCTCCCTGAGGCCCCGCTCCCGAGTTCAGACAGAACCCGCCTCAGCCCACTCCGGTGCCATCTGTCCTTGGCGTTCCTTAGACAGGGACATTTCAATGGGAAGGCGCTAACAGGCTTGAATCAAATCTGGAGAATTAGAATGGAATGCTTGCTATGTTGTGGCAGGTAGCGTTCCCTGCATTGTGTGTGGATGGGGTGCGGGATTGACTTTTTATTGGCAAAGAGAGGAAGCACCCTCTGTGACGCGTGGTCACGCCACAGTCGTCCCCTGGGGCTCCACCCGGTCAGGACTAGGGCACACAGCACGTGCCTGGGTCCAGCCGGCTGCAAAGGGGTTGCCGACCCGTCCCACTGCACCAGGGCGCTTCCTCCCTGGCTTTCTGTCTCTCTCTGGCAAGTGCACACACCTCTGACAGTTTTTAAAAAAAGAAAAAGAAATACTTTTTGAGCAATCCTAGAAAGCTTTTCCCAGTTAATTCCATCAAGCGAAAACTCCAGCTTTTCCTCGCTTGGTTCGTTGTATGTGACCGTGCTTGGCTAGTGTTTGTACGAGTGATGGCTTCCGTCCCTTCACCCTGACCGGGAGTCACAGAGACACGTCATAAGGGCTGCTTCCGTCACATGCAGCAGGCCTGGGGTTGGCTGCCGAGGACCCCGTGTTCTCAACTCTGAGTGACCGTGGGCCGGTCTCTGTCCCCGCTGAGCGGCATCCCCTAAACCCTACCCGTGGGCTGGGAATTCGGTAGCACAGTTGCTGACATTCCAGATCAGAGCTGATAGAGCTGTGCGTAAAACACCTTGGAAGGAACATTCGAGAGTAACGTCTGCTGCTGTGTGAGGGCGGGTCAGTGACCCTCAGACCATTCCAAGGTACCATCGCCCAGTGTCCCTGCCTCGTAGGTGAGGATCAGGGGTGCCCCGGGTGGGTTTTGGTCGGTGCCTGTCCCTCCCCATTGCCAGCCCCGAAGTCACCCTCAGCCACCACAAAGAGGGGCAGGGCCCTGCCACGCGCTCTCTGTCTTGCAGGGGACACGATATTCATCGTCCTGCGGAAGCAGAAGCTGATCTTCCTGCACTGGTACCACCACATCACCGTGCTGCTCTACTCCTGGTACTCCTACAAGGACATGGTGGCCGGCGGCGGCTGGTTCATGACCATGAACTACGGCGTGCACGCCGTCATGTACTCCTACTACGCCTTGCGGGCGGCGGGCTTCCGCGTGTCCCGCAAGTTCGCCATGTTCATCACCTTGTCCCAGATCACCCAGATGCTGATGGGCTGCGTCATCAACTACCTGGTCTTCTACTGGATGCAGCAGGACCAGTGCCACTCCCACTTCCAGAACATCTTCTGGTCCTCACTCATGTACCTCAGCTACCTTGTGCTCTTCTGCCACTTCTTCTTCGAGGCCTACATCGGCAAGATGAGGAAGACCACGAAGGGCGAGTAGTGCCGGCGAGGAGGAAGCCATAGCTCAGGGCCATCAGGGACAGACGAGGACATGGCACAAGGAACGACACGGTGCAGCTACCACGAGCGAACACGCGCAGACACGCCGGGCGGTGCAGGGGGACAGGGCGACGTAACCCAGTAAGTTTATGACCCTCTTGGGGCGAGGACTCACTGAGCACACCTCCACGTCGCACTGCTGCTGCGAGACCCCACCCCTCTTCATCTGTCAACTCGAGGACAAAGAGCAAGAGCAGGCCGAGGCAGGGCGAGACCGGAGGGCAGGAGCGCTCCCCTCGCGGCACGGAGCGCGTGTGTACTACCTGTGTGGGTCTCAAGGGGCGAGGGCCGTGCCCTTTGAGACCGTGCACGCAGACAGGGGCCTCTCCGACCCTTTCTGACCCTGAGCTGGCGCCATCAGGGAGGGTGGACGTGGACGCGACGCGGCTGTGGGCCTGAAACAGCAATGCCTGTGCAGAAATGAAAGCCCGTCTGAGGAAGGCCGGCTGTCCGAGCCCCGTAGCTTCTCCTCACTGCACGGCCTCAGGCCAGGGAGTCTGCCGAACCTAAAGGGGCGGATACCCACGGGGCGTGACGCCACCCAGGGTTCCTCCTGGGAGGGCGGAAACCCCAGTGGCCCGCCTGGCAGGGCGGCCTCCCCGGGCATGGCGGGTGATTGAGCTGCACTTCTTACTCCCGGGTGGGAGGCCCTGTCCTTCGTTCATGTCCAGGCTTTTGACCAGAGAGTTGGAACAGAATCAAGCAGATGAAACTCCAGCGAGCGACTCCACAGTGGCGTCTGCTCCTGTGAGGCTTGGCCCAGAGTGGTGGCTCTTGTGCTGGGAAGGAAACGTGGGGGGCAGGGGTCGGCTCAGCAGCCAGACACTACGGAGCCCACATCGGGTGGACGTGGACGCGACGCGGCTGTGGGCCTGAAACAGCAATGCCTGTGCAGAAATGAAAGCCCGTCTGAGGAAGGCCGGCTGTCCGAGCCCCGTAGCTTCTCCTCACTGCACGGCCTCAGGCCAGGGAGTCTGCCGAACCTAAAGGGGCGGATACCCACGGGGCGTGACGCCACCCAGGGTTCCTCCTGGGAGGGCGGAAACCCCAGTGGCCCGCCTGGCAGGGCGGCCTCCCCGGGCATGGCGGGTGATTGAGCTGCACTTCTTACTCCCGGGTGGGAGGCCCTGTCCTTCGTTCATGTCCAGGCTTTTGACCAGAGAGTTGGAACAGAATCAAGCAGATGAAACTCCAGCGAGCGACTCCACAGTGGCGTCTGCTCCTGTGAGGCTTGGCCCAGAGTGGTGGCTCTTGTGCTGGGAAGGAAACGTGGGGGGCAGGGGCGGGCCCACCAGCCAGACACTACGGAGCCCACATCCTAGGTAACTCTGCCGATGAAACCCTGCGGTCCGGCCCATATTTTCTATATTTTTATGAATTTTAAAGAGAAGCCTGCAGGGCTGCCTCTGCTCCTGGGCGAACACTGTGCTCCTCCACCGTCTGCCCTGCGCCAAGCGGGCAGAGGTGTTCCAAGTGCTGTCTGCTGGCCGCGCTGAGGTACTTCCCGACACTCCCTCCTGCAGCTAGGCGAGAGCAGTTGGCAAAGGGCCCTGCAGACTTACCCCACACTGTACATGACAAACACTCAAAAGACATCCTTCCTGCTTCGAGTCAGCTTCAGAAATTTTTTAAAAGGGACTTTTGCTCTGGAACTCAAAAAGTTGATTTATTAAGAGCCATATTCTTTAAAAAAAAAAAAAAAAAAGCTAGATGATATTATCTGTGATGTTTCAGTCCTTTACAAGCCAAATAAATGTGTGGACGTTCCTAGTATTTCAAAGAAGCAGCTGTAGAGTCGTTCGATGTGACGTAGCGGTATTCCACTTGGGTAAGTAGCTTAATGGTTAGGCGACCTAGATGAGGGATTAGGGCTTCCGCACTGCGTAGGTAGTACACACGCCGCACATACGTGCACACACGTGCTAGCGCCACACTGACGGCAAAGCCCAGAAGAACAGAAACACATTTCTGGCTAGCAGAAAAAGAAACTTGTTTATCTTTCTTGCTTTATTTGAGAGTGTACAGTAAAAGGGATTTTTCAGATTATTTTTATATTATTTTAGCTTTAATTGTGCTGTTGCTCATGAGACAGAGCACTGCTTTTCTGTCAGATGGCAAGGGCTTTTAACAGCGCCTCATTTGTGTGTGGAATTTAAACAGAATAAAGTTTCGCTCCATTCCCTGTGAATGGTCCTGTGGGCAAAACCCGTGCACACCGACCCATGACCCGGAGCACTGGGTGGGGCGGCCGGGGTCTGTGCGGCTGGGGTGCTCCTGTCCTGACGCCGGTTCACAGAGGGGACACGGTGGGGGGCGGTGGAGTCACAGAGCTGACCTGAGCTGGGGACGGCTGACCGGTTCACGGGGCACGGATGTCACCGAGACTGCACCAGGGAGAAGGGGCAGAAATTAAGTGGGGAAAAGGCCACATGGCAGCTGCCTGGAGTTTAGTGGAAGAGTACTCCTCAGGCTCACTCAGTTTACTCGTTTAATTCCGTGGTTTATTGTAGGCCCTCCAATGCAGGTTGGAACGAGGAGGTCATAGCCCTTAGAAAGGCGGTTGCTTCCAAAGCACTTCCCCCTTGGCGTTAGGTCATGCTTGTGTTCGCTTCCAAGGTGATTTAGGATCTTTTTTCAGATTCACTGTCTAATAAATAGTTTTTAAATTAACTAAGATATATCTA